TAAGGCCCTGTTCACACTAGCATTAGCTCCTGCCTGCTGATCAAGTGTCACCGTGTTCCGGCCTCTGTCCGCTCATCTGTATCCTGCAACAGAAAGCTGTTGCTTCCCGCTACATCGGCCCTCGTGTCCTCACACCTCCTGTGATCACTACCAGGGGTGCTGGACAAGAAGTGCAAGAGAAACCCCCTCCAGCTTGATTTCCACCAGGTACATGACAGAATGTCCCTGACCCTCTGAAAAGTCTTCCGTAGTGAATCATTTTTCAGAGGGAATTTGACAGGTGGTGATATGTTGCCTCATTACCACCTGGTTTAACCCCTGAAAGCCCACAGCATTGCGTGGTAACCATGTGGCTTACGCGCAGTTGCAAGGCAGTTGTGGAATGACCTCATGAAATCGGTTGTGTTTGGTGGTGGTACTGCCTGACAAATGTAAAAATTGCCAAAGTTCTGATGTGTATGCTTGCATGGTCACTTTGCGTCCCTGGGCTGTTTAGAGGTACAGGATGTCATTCAAACGCATAGCATGTCTATCGTTTGTAGACTGTTCAGCTGCCTTGCTGATTGACAACAGCTTCAAGCCCTAGCCAAATCACAGCCTGCCTCTTTTATCTGCCTCCTGTAAGTTCCCTGTCTGTATTTACAGAGAACTTGCTTCCCTGTCTGTATGTGACATATCAGAGGAGTAGCTTGAAGCTTGTGGGCAATAGTTTACCTGGGGCCCCCCACTACCTTCCACCGTGCGCCAAGAAGCTCCCACAGTGCCCCAAGATATGATATCTGTATGGTGGCTGTCACGCTCTTCTCTCTGTCCTGCTGCCGTCTGCACGTGCACACAAGGTGGGGTCAGGCAGGTCACACTCTGAGCTGTCAGGTGAAATCGGTAGGTTTGTATGTAAAAGAGGAAACTCAGCAGGCCTTGACTTCATACAAGCCCACCTCTCTCACCCAGCAGCTCACAGTGTGGCCTGCCTGCCCCCACCTTGTCTGCACGTGCAGGGCTGAGCAGAGGCGTACTGTACTGAGATCAAGGCTGATCAGAGCGTGCCACTGCAGATATCACACCTTTTTTTTCTTCTTTTTTTAAACACCTTTCTTTTATACATTATTAAACAGCACCCAGTTACTTCTTTCATGGCCAGGCTGCAATGATATGGAGGTGCAGGATATTAATAATACCCCCCTTCCTGGTAATGACGCATACCCTTCTATCTCCTCCTGGTATTGACAGATGACCCCTCCTTCAAGCGCCCCGCAATTTAGCAAATCATAGATGACCCCCTCCTCCTGTAAAGACAGATGATATCCCCTCCTGGTAATGACACTTGTCCTCCCACCAGGTAATGACAGATGACTCTCTCCCCCCAACAGGTAATGACAGATGACCCTCCCCCCCACCAGGTAATGACATATAGCCTCCTTCCCACGAGGTAATGACAGATGACCTGCCTCCCCCACCAGGTAATGACAGATGACCTCCCTATCCCCCACCAGGTAATGACAGATGACCCCTCCCCCACCAGGTAATGAGAGATGACCCTCTCCCACCAGGTAAATGACAGATGACCCCCCTTCTCCCCACCAGGTAATGACAGATGACAACCTTCCCCACCAGATAATGACAGATGACCCTCACCTTCTCCCCCACATGCTGACAATGACTGATGCCTGTGCAGCTCCCCCTCTGCTCAGTAAAATCTGCAGCCCCTGGAGCCCACAGTTTCTTGGAGGCCCCTCAGGAGTTGTTATGGGATTTTGTGAGAATTTTTGTGTGAGTGTCAGCAGGAGTTGCGGAGAGGTGTGTGTCTGTCCTCTGAACAAATCCGACCGGTATCTTTTTACCTCCCCAATGACAGCAGTACCAGCTCCTGGATGGTGCTCTCCTCCTCCCTCGTTCAGCCCGGTCATAGCTCAGTGTCCATCCCCACCTGGTTGTCAGCACTGACACTTTCCCGTCCAGCAGGGCTGGCCTCACCCCATCCTTCCTCCACTACTCTCCGGCTCAGGACTTAAAAATGGAGCCAAGAGCTCAGAGCTTCCACTTTGCTCTGGATTCCTCTTTACCCATGATAGTAACAGGGAGACAGCAGGGGCCTCCCTGGAGCATGAGCGAGGTCACAATTGTGAACCCTGCGACCCATGATGCTACGCTCATGTGACATATTATGGAACCGCTCTCAAAAGAGAAACAAACCTGCCCCCTGCTATCAGGAAGAGATGTGCAGTCACATGACAGAACTTCATAACCTTGGAAAAAAAAGTAAAATTATCCATTTGGAAACTAATGAAATACAAATATGCCTACATAGTAATATCAATATTAGAAAATGTCTGTCAAATTTACAAGGTCCCATTCACACTAGTTCAATTTCTCCTGCGTCTGCCCATTCACATCAATGCAACAAACGCGCAGCAAAATTTTTGAAAAGGTACGGGTGCTTCTTTTGGTGCCGATTCGTGGATTTTTCGACCCCAACGACTTCAACGGGAACGCATGAAAAACGCATGTTCATGCATTTTCTGGCAGGGTTTTGTGTTTGAAAAACAGTTTCTTTCATCTATAAAGACACACGCGAAGTATGAAAACGCATAAAAAAAGCATGATTATGCAGCAGTAGTAGTGTGAACCTAGGCTTGGGTGGGCAATAAAACCAAAGCTTAACCGCCTATTATTATTTTTTTTTAAATACACTGCAGCTGGACAGTGCTAACTGCTGTACTGACTGGTTCTCACCTTTAGAGTCCTATGTGTTCAGGAACATATGCCTCAAAGAATTCTGAGTTCTGGTCATACATCTATGAACAAATAAGGCCCTAAATGTGAGTACCATTTGTACAGTACAGCATTCAGTCCTGCCTAGCGTATATTAACCTGCATAGACTTTGACAGGATGAAGGCAGCAGGAGTGGTTGCTGCACCTGTGCCTCCTGGGCACACAAAAATACCAGGATTGGACTCAGAGTCTAGATGCCCTGTGTGCAAGGGGCCTAAAGCTAAACATGCTTGTTGACTAAGGCTGGGTTCACAATCACGCGGTGTGGAATTTGCAGCGTTTTATGTGTGAATCGCACCCCGTTCATGTGAACCGATGCGGGTGTGAAAGTGAAGTTAACAACACACTGAAATCAGTCCGCAAACCGCGGCGTGATGTGCAGCATCAGATTACACAGATGTGAATACCCATGCGATCCGATTCTAGTGCGGACCCAAAAAAGGGTCCTGCACCTTTTTGGTGCAGATGCGGTGCAATTTGAGCCATACATAACGTATGGCTCCAATCACACTGCACACAAATCGCATGTGATTTGCACAGGAATGCGGCGCAGTTCCTGTGCGAATCACATGCGATGTACCGCACCTCATTAGTGTGAACCTAGCCTAAAAGACATAAAAATATTCATGTACAATATTTCATAGTTACCTGACAAAAAAAATACATTTGATTTGGCAGTAACATTACTTTTCCATTATACTAGTCTTTGAAAATAGGCATGCCATCATTCACAGTGTGAACTCTAAGCTATCCAGAAGCATAACACAGTGATCTCATGGGTAAAAAAAATCCATCATACAATCTTTTACAAAAAATGTTTCCATAGACAATACCAAATTTCTCTAACAAAAAAACAAATCACAACAGGCAACAACACCAGGTAACATCAAAATTACATTTTCACTAAAGCTGGTTCAACATGAAACCAGTCAAGATTCTATCCATGTATGGACAGGCTAATTGTACCCATGTCGATCCATCCAACCTGTCAGATTTTTAGTATGAGATAATTGGCAGCAGCTATAGCTGCTAGCAATAATCACCGATTCCCGACAGAGACAGCTCCCCGTGCCCCACACCACCAGAACACAATAGCTCCATGGGAGGGATTTCCCCTCAAAACTGACACTTAAGCTTGGTTGCAATAAAGAAAATCGCATCATTTATGGCCTGCCTAAGACTAAATGCATGTGGCCATTGTGTATGATTGGGTATCCTGATGATCAAATGCTTAGCAGTATCACTGGCTAACAGGAAGGTGCATTAGACAGTTGGGGGTGGGAAGATCTTAACACTGCCATGTCTATGATTTATGAAATCAGAGCAGTCTGACCCACCCTGAACACAACTGAAGGTACACACTGGTACCAGTGCCTTGTAAGTTAGATATACAGTCAGTTTAGATTTTTAATTTTTTTTACCAACAGGTACAAACTATATAGTATACAGTAGTGTACAAAAAACCTACAAGTGGTGTACATTTTAAATGACTGCTAATTTATCCTGGACTAGTTGGCATCAGTTTATCATGCATAGGAAGTGTGCCAGCAAAAAGCCTTTGCTATCTAAAAGGAACATTCGCACAAGACTACTGTTTGCCATTGAAAATATAGGCAAAGACCAGGCCTTCTGGAACAAGTGCTAGGGATTGTTACTTGGTCACAGTACCAATAAACATGTGTCATGTAAAGGAAGGCATTTCAGGAGTAGAACCGTATACCAACTCTGAAGAAATATGGTGGTGGAATTTTTTGTGGTTTGGTGTTTTGCTGCTTCAGTCCCAAGAAGCTTGCAGTCAACTATGACTTCTGCATCATAACAAAGTGTGTATATTAGGAATATAATGTCTGGAAGTTGAAGTTGAGCCAGAAATGGTTATTTCAACATGTAAATGTTTCAAAGCATACTAATAAATCCACCAAGGAATGACTTACTAAGAAAAAAGAGAGAGTGTTACAGACTGGCCTAGTGAAAGCCCTGATTTGAATTTCAAAAAATGTTGTACTGGTAATCTGAAATAGGCGGTCAAGTAAAGAAAGCAAAAAAACAGCTTGTAACTGAAAAAATTCTGTAGGGAGAAACAGTGAAATATTTTGATGTCAGAGACCGGTGGGCTCTTATCCAAATCGCTTACACCAAGAAATTTCTCAGGTGTTACAAAACTGTAGCTGCTGACTTTTAAAATACAGTCACTTACATGTCCCTTAGTTTAGCGCTATCCTCATCACAGCTGGTTTCACTAGCTGTCTTCTCTCCCCAGCACCGGCATCTTCAGTGTGGGCACCCGGCTGTGACAGCTTGCGGCTTCACAGCCGGGTGCCCACTGCACATGCGCAAGAACCGCTGCACTTTGTGAATGGCCCCGTAGTCTTCTGGGACCTGTCATAAGTCCCAGAAGACTACGGGGAGGGGGGAACAACTTCCACTTCCGATCGCAGCGGAAGTGTCAAATTCGGGTACCTGCTTCCCAAAGGTGACAATCCTTAATGGGGAGCGGGGGACAAAGACTTAAAGCGGAACTTCTCCTATTGGGTGGAACTCCGCTTTAAGGTTAGAAGCTGACTGGCTACCATGCACAGCTGCCCCAGATTCTGAGTGCTCCAGTTTTAGTAAATCTACCCCCAAGAGTCTATTAGACCTATTCTGCCTCCAGCCCAGGCAAATCAGGGAGACAAAGCCCCAAGTTGCATGTCACCTGGAGCAGCTTCTGGGATTGTGACAAATCAAAGCATTCGTGAGTTCATTCAGTACAGCAGAGACTGGCTCCCCCCACTCTCCATCCCAAATCTGTTTGCTGTAGTTTTGGGCTCACGAGTCAGGAGAGACTCAAGCTGACACTGTAATTATTTATTTTACCTCTTTTATAACAGTCTTGACAGCTTAACATTTCCCATTGTTTACACTGCACTAAAAGCTTCTTGTGTTGGTGAGTTATTATTAACTAAAAGAAGACTTGAGAGAATATATAAAAATGGCAGTGAGTTGACAAGAAGTATAAAATGTTAATAGGTCTCCCATCGTATGGAAGTCAGGAGAATCACCACCAAGTAACTGTGCCACGTGCCTGTGCCCTGGCCGCTCACTCAGTGTCTAATGTCAGGCCTGGCACGCCTGCCTTAGGCTCAGTCATTTGACTTGCTGAGCTGGGAGATGTGATGAGTTTCACTTAAGTTACCACTGTGAGGAATGAAGTGCAAATCCCCTTGAAATATAGAACTGAGAAGGGAGATGGATTAAATTTATTCCATACAGCGTCCATCACATTAACTTGATCCAAATAGAAGACTTAGCCACAGAGTGGTACTTTTCACATCTAATAAAACACAAGGACATCATATGAGTATTAAAATTAGTTACTTGTTTCACTGGTCAATTATGTTATAATCTTATTGAACACTATTCAAACATTGTTAAAATGCATCCTTTTACAACATACGTAATGGGAATACACTACATACAGTCTTGTACATAGAAAGACTTATATTCATCACACATGAACCTCACATAGTGGATGCACTAAAGCAGATACAACACCTCCCCAGAACAAAGCAATGCATTAAAAAAACAAGCATAGTTAAGACTAGAGTATGACCTCTCAATTTTACTGGCATGCACCTTGATTACTGTAAAATTCACAGCAAATATCTTTTACTAGATGGACTGCAGAGCCTGTGACATGCAAGAGTCATATACTCTGTAATGTAGCTGGTAACAGAACATCTGAAATTGATTTCACCAAATGAGTGCTTCTAAAACACCAAGCATAATTTACTCACTTCTAGTTCCCTAAACATAACATAGATGAGCTGAAAATCCTCTTAAGAGAGGACCTGAACTGTGGAATGTTTGCTCAGATAGGCAGCCAAAAGACTAGTCACCAGTATTCAAACCACAGGAAAATCCTCTGCTCGATTGCAAAAATAAAAAAAGTTACAAACTACCGTATTTTTCGCTCCATAAGACGCACCTGACCATAAGACGCGCCTAGGTTTTAGAGGAGAAAAAGAAAAAAAATATTCTGAACCAATGGACTGCAGACACAGTACAGGAGATGACCAGAGACTGCAGACACGGTACAGGAGATGACCAGAGACTGCGGACACGGTACAGGAGATGACCAGAGACTGCCGACACGGTACAGGGGATGACCAGAGACTGCCGACACGGTACAGGAGAAGACCAGAGACTGCCGACACGGTACAGGGGATGACCAGAGACTGCCGACACGGTACAGGGGATGACCAGAGACTGCGGACACGGTACAGGGGATGACCAGAGACTGCGGACACAGTACAGGGGATGACCGGAGACTGCGGACACGGTACAGGGGATGACCAGAGACTGCGGACACGGTACAGGGGATGACCAGAGACTGCGGACATGGAACAGGAGATGACCAGAGACTGCGGACACAGAACAGGAGATGACCAGAGACTGCGGACACAGCACAGGAAATGACCAGAGACTGCGGACACAGTACAGGAAATGACCAGAGACTGCGGACACAGAACAGGAGATGACCAGAGACTGTGGACACAGTACAGGGGATGACCAGAGACTGCGGACACGGACATAATACAGGAGATGACCAGAGACTGCGGACATAGTACAGGAGATGACCAGAGACTGCGGACATAGTACAGGAGATGAAAAGAGACTGCGGACATAGTACAGGGAATGACCAGAGACTGCAGACAATGCAGGGGATGACCAGAGACTGCAGACAGTAAAGGAGATTACCAGACACTGCGGACCTTTGGGGAGGGAGGGGGAACGGGTACCTGAATTTGACAGGTACCTGCTCCCACTTCCGCAGAGCTGTCCTTCCTTCCTTCTTCCGGTGGCGGCTTCTGTGACAGCCGGGTGCCCACTGTGCATGCACGATAAGCGCTGCGCTTTGTGAATGGCCCGGAGCCTTCTGGGACCTGTCAGTGGGCACCCGGCTGTCACAGAAGCCGCTGCCGGAAGACTGCAGCGCTGGAGCGAGGAACAGGTAAGGTCCTGCAGGAGAGAAGAGCTGAGCGGCCGGCCCGGTATTCTGACATGGTGGCGGCAGAAATACCAGACCGGCCGCTTTACATTCGCTCCATAAGACACACTGATATTTTCCCTCCTTTTTTGGGAGAAAAAAAGTGTGTCTTATGGAGCGAAAAATACGGTAATAATCTGAATACAGGACCAAATAAACTCAAATTAAAAACAACTGTGCTGAATGAATATCCAGCAATATAATAAAAAAAGCAAAAATATTTTGCAACACAACATTGGTGCGGGTCCACTTTAAATTTATGACAAACACTTAATCCAGTGAAGTGAATCCAGGGGAAGAGGGTGGACGATGGAGTGGCGAAACATGTTGGGTGGGGCTTGGTTCATGATGTCATCATGCCCATTGGTGGAGTAGCAGCAAAGCTGTGTTTGCTTACAAGCTGGTCTCTTTGCTTTTCCATGTCAGTGTTATTCTTTCAATAAACCCATTTGTTTTTTACATATTACGCTATGGAATCTACTTTTTTGTTCCTCTTATGTTTAATGCGATTTTGAGTAAAATTGGTGGACTACTGGAGAATCTATGCATATCAAGGCTGTGTGACACCCAGAATCTAGTAATCTCTCATAATCTACAGATCCTCTTCATCTGGTTAGTTGGCTTTATCACTAGGGGGGCACCTTGCAGTGGACACCTGTGTACTGTCTGTTTTTTAAGCACATCGCCTTCAATGGATTCAGTGTTCATGATATTTAAATGTACATTTGTTTTTTCATATCTATTGTCTGCCAATTTCTTGCTTTTTGATTCATTTTATAGCTGGATATTCAGTGTTGATTTTGTGATTATGTATTCACTACAGGGGTGCCTTGGCAAAATGCCTAAAATTTCCAAAAATGTTGTACGAGCCAGAGGTGGATCAAGCCTGCCTTTTAGTTACACAAAGCCACAGGTTTTCATTATACATCATTATGACCTTTTAGCTGCTGGCATCCAAACAACCAATAATATCATCAGTTGAAAAGGAGGATGTTGGGGGAGCGCTCGTGAGCAGCAATCGTGATGGCCGCATTGTAGGCCTGCTCCTCGGCCGCCAGACATATCGGCTGATCTTCCAGCCCCTCCTAGCCCCCTGTCGCCATTGCCCTGATGGGCAAAAAAACTGCAGCTGCCCGCCCCTCCAGCACTCGGCAAGCCCCGGCCTCAAATTCAGGTCCCCTGCCGGAGGTCGCATCTGAAGCCCCGGCCTCGAGTTCAGGTCCCCCGCCGGAGGCCGCATCTGAAGCCCCGGTCTCAGTTTCGGGTCTCATGTCGCTGCTACCCACGGATGGGCCGGATCCCATCATGTTACCTTGGATTCCTCATTGGATAGGCGCTACGCCCGGGGGGGGGGTGCGACCCCCTTCTCACAACTTAGTGCTAGAGGAATGTATGCGCTCTCTCTTGCAGACGGCGGGGCTGCGCGAACGTCTTGAGGGAACTTCACCCAACTGAGCGCGACTGTAAATTCTATTCCAATCCTTATGACAGTTTTTGTAGAATTGACCATATATTCCTGCATGTCCAGCAGCTTCCCTTGGTCAGGCGGATATCTATTCCCTCCTCGCCCTGGCTGGATCATGATCCCCTGCTACTCCTCCTTGTCCTCTCTGGGTCGGTACAGCGCCCCTTTCACTGGCGTATTAATGATTCTCTATTGACCACTCAGGTTACCTGCCAACAAATAGAATCTTTCTTACGCACAAACTTTAAAAAAAATTTGGGATCTGTACTCTTCGGCAGTGCACCTGTGGGAGGCGCATAAAGCCATGGTGCGGGGTCATGTTAAACAGCTGGTGGCGGCTTGGAAGCAGGAGCGCTGACTTTTGGATTTTCATTCTCTACTGGCCTCTGCAGATGCTCGTTGGAAGTCATTTCCATCCGCGGCCCATAAACGCGCACGGGACGCTCTGGCTGCAGAGTTGGACCTACTTGCTTCTTCGAAGGCGGAATGGGCCCTGCATTGGACCGAACACAAATGTTATTCCTGTGCTAATAAGATGGGCCGATGCTGGCCAGAAAACTAAATTCTGTGGGGAAACCCCATAAACCAATCCGATTGTGACTTCCCACGTGTGGCTGTACTTCTAATCCCCAGCAGATTGTTTCCCGTTTCGCAAACTTCCTTTTGCGCCTTTACGCTAAACCAGATCCCTGTGGCTCAGGCAGAGGCACTCTTCCAAGATCTCCAACTTCCTGGATTATCTGAGGCAGTGCAGATGGCCTTCAACGCCGGTGTCACCATATGGGAAGTGCTCCAAGCTATCTAATCTCTACAGTCCACCACGGCCCCAGGTCCCGACGGCTTCTCCAGTCTCTATTATAAGAAATTTGCAACCCTGTTGGCGCCATTCTTGGCTGATTATTTTAATGAGTTACGACAGGGCTCTTTGCCCTCTCCAGACGCGCTTAGAGCTCATATCTCCATGATTCCTACGACCGATGATGTGCAAGAACCTCAAAAGTCTTCCGGCCTATTTCTCGTCTTAATAAAGACCTGAAGATATTGGGCAAGATCCTTAGTCTTAGTATCAATAAATATTTGCGTAATCTGGACCACAGGGACCAAGTAGGTTTCGTCCCTGGGAGGCAGGCGGGTGATAACGTTCGTAAGGTGGTCCATCTTATACACTTTCTACAACAGCGAAATCCTGGGATTCTTACTGTCTTTAGACATATATAAAGCCTTTGATTCTCTATCCTGGGAATATCTGTGGTTGTGCTGTCTCGTTGGGGTTTTGGGGATTCTATTCTTTCTTGGATTCAAGCCTTGTTTTCTTCTTCTTCGGCTTCTGTTAATTACGCTGGGTATTTCTCAGATCCCTTTTCGATTTGGCGAGGGACGAGACAGGGCTGCCCCCTGTCCCCGGCGCTCTTTGTCCTGGTGCTTGAGCTGCTGGCTTTAGCGCACCCGGCCGATTGTAATATATCGGGTGTTCCATACGCGGGACAGGAGTTCAAGTTAATCCTTTTTGCGGATGATGCCCTCTTGATGCCCTCTTGACTCTCACTTATTCCCTGACGATGCTTCCAAATTTGCAAGAGGTTCTTGTGTGCTTCTCCTTGATTTTGGGTCTCCGTATTAATTTGGATAAGACTGTCGCTCTTAATATTACTTTGGCCTCAGATTTGGTTTCGCATCTACAGTCCCACTTCCCTTTCAAATGGGCTTCCTCTTCTCTTGAATACCTAGGCATTTGCTTAACCCCTACCTATGGATCGTTGTTTGCTGCAAATTATTATCCATTGCTTCACTCTGTGTCCTCTCTTATGGACTCCTAGCAATTTCCGCACCTGTCTTGGATAGGACGGGTTAATTCAGTGAAAATGACCATCTTGCCGAAATTGTTATACTATTTTCACACCCTCCCAGTGCGGGTTCCTCCTCATTTTCTCCAGTTGATTCAGGCGAAGATTATGAGTTTTATCTGGGCCGATAAGCACCCCAGAGTCTCCAGAAATATGCTTTTTGTTCATAGACTCCAGGGTGGTCTTGGGGTGCCTAATGTAACTAAGTATTATCAGGTGAGCCAGATTGCCCCGCTGTCTATGTTGCACGCTTCCTCAGACATTCCTCTCTGGGTCCTGCTGGAACTACCTAATTGTGTCCCTATTGCGACATTGACGCTTCTATAACTTGCCCCTGCCCTACGGCACTGAGTCCGATTTTGCTCCATGGCTTACAAGTGTGGACTCGGTACGTTACTTTAGTGGCCTGATGTCACCTTCCCTACCTTTGCTCCCAATTATTAACAACCCTCTCTTCCCACCGGGTTTAGATCAACCAAGGGCATTTTCTTGGTGGGTGGCCAATGGTTTTTGCAGGTGCGACACTTTTTGAATTCTCGGTCCTTCCCCACTTGGAATTCTCTTTGGGAGTCACGGGATGTCTCTCCGGCGGAATTTTTTCGTTACCTTCAATTGTAGCATTGGCTGACCTCACTGCAGGGCAATTCTGCTTTCCCGTACCAGAAATCTGCCTTTGAACTGCTTTGCCAACAGCGTCTGGGCGCACTGGGCCTTATTTCTCTTCTTTATGCAGCTTTGAACAGATGATCGACGTATACTTCTTTCTCATATGTTGCTCAGTGGGAGCGCAACCTGGGGGCAATCGTGGATCTGGAGGACTGGAATAGGGCCTGGTCGTTTATAGCTAAATGTTAATTTAATACGACCACGCTGGAGGCGGCATACAAAGAATTGTTTCGTTGGTATTGGGTTCCAGCTCATTTGGCCCCGGCAAACCCTGCCTGCAGTGATCGATGCTTTTGGGGTTGTGGCCATCGTGGTGATGTATTGCATATCTGGTGGTCATGCCTGAGACAATTTAGTTTTTGGTCTCGTGTGTTTGGCCTCCTTTTCACCTTGTTCCATCTCTCCTTACGCCGGGATGCTCAGTATGCTTTTCTTCACTGTCCCATACCAGGCCTTTTGGCTCACCAGAAGTTGGCTTCCGATTTGTTTTTGTCGGCAACTACAACAATTGCTCAGACATGGAAGAGCCCGTTTGTCCCTCTTCAGGGGGTGTGGGACCGTATGACCACTGATGCTCAATGAACAGATGTCGGAAATTCTTGAAAATATGGGAGCTGTGGTTGCAATATGCCTTTCCCACGCTCCCCTCAACTACTCTGGGGTTGCCCCGGCTAGTCTGGGGTTGTGATGTTGCTTGGTATTGGCGTTCTTTGTCCCCTGCTCTTGTCATCTTTTTCCTTTTGTACTCCTCCTTCCTTTTCTTTTTTTGTCTGTTCTTGGTGTGGCAGTGGATAGCTGCCTTTGGTTTGAGATACGGTC